TTCTTTCTTTCTTTCTTTCTTTCTTTCTTTCTTTCTTTCTTTCTTTCTGTGTGTCATCTTTCAGATCATGAGACACCTACAGAAGAAACGTAAGCCAAGGATTGCCTTCAGATCCTCAAGGAAGAGCTCTTTGGTGAAAACAATGCAACAAAATAGATCCCAAAATTCAAAATGCACCATCTGTTTAGCAATGATCCAAGACCCAACTTACTTGAACCCTTGCAACCACCAATTCTGCTTCAAATGTATTCAGAAGTGGTCCAGAAAGAAAGTTATATGTCCATTGTGTAAGCAGCATTTCTATTCATTCTTTCACACTATACGGAGAAAAGATGCCTTATGCGAATATGTCCTGCCTTTGAATGATGGCTTTTTTGCTCTTTCTGAAAGCAATGAAGACTATGCATCAGCCTCACCTCTTGACAATGGAATTGTGCATAATGAAATTAGTGGAACATTAACTCAAAGAGAAAAGGATATTTATCAGCTCATGAGACAGTTTGCAGTTACAGAGAGACCCAATGATGTTGATTTAATCAGCCTTGGAAAACTTAAAGCCCAAGCAGTAATTCAGTTTAGGAGAACTCTTTACCATGCAGGGATTCTAGTTCAAAATGCTCCACATCCAGATTTCAGTCAAATACCTTCAACAGAATATTTTGGCAGAAATCCTCAATGTTTGGACAGACTGATCCCTTGGCTAAAACGAGAATTAAAAGTGCTGCTTGGTAACAAAAAATCAATGATTCATACTTTGCAGAATCTCATCCTAAGTAACCTTACTCATCATGATCTGGACAGCAAAGAATTTGAAGCTACTTTAGAGCCCCACCTGCACCATTTCACTGGTCATTTCCTGCACGAGTTCATTAGTTTTGTTCAATCCTCATTAAATCTGAAGAAGTACGACTGGTGTGCCTTGTATGAATGCCCTGCGATATTGAAAGAGACTGATCTTTTAACTTCTTCTCCATCTTCAGAAAATGAACATCTGCAACATCCTGAAAAAAGTCAGATGCCCAAACCCAATGGTAGTTCAGATTATGGAAACCTAACATTCTTGCTTCCTGGTTCAGAGAAAGCTGTTCCTTCCACATATGCTACAGCAGATGATAAAAATCATTCAATGAATGAAGAAAATTATATGGATTTGTCCAACAAAGATACTGAAAAGGGGATAGCTACAGCCTATCATATTATTAAAAATATACTGCTTAAGACACACTCAGCGGAAAAAGTACAGGTCCCTGGATCTCTCTCTCACTCCCACCTATTTCAAAGACAGAAAGAAAAGGAGGACATAGTAGAAATAGATCCTGTTCGGCTTCTTAGGCCAACTGATATGGAAACAGGTAAGCATTCCTCAAATGAATTAGCATTTGTAGATGATGGTACCTTTAACATTTATCTCAAAAATTCTGCTAACACCATTACAGTGAAGAAATTGGGCAAAAAAGATATAACAAAATGTCAATCCTCTGAGGTTCCCATAAACAAATTAAAAGAATATTCACTGTCTCCCAAAAGAAGGAGTGTACATAAAAATAGTGGATCAAAGGGTAGCATAGAATGCAAATTTGAAGAAGCATGTTCTCCTTCAAAAGAAAGACATGGGGGGAGAAATAAAGCCAAGTATCTGCATGATGAGAAGAAATTTAGAAACTATTCCAGAGACAAGAAGCATAGACAAGATAAAAGAAAATCAAAGTCTAAAGAAGTAAGTTTGCTTCACAAGAGCCCTCTGCCTGTAAGAAAAAAAAGCACTGAGGCTAGAGACACTCACAAGTCAAAATCACAGAACATTCATCACAAAAGAAAAACAAAGAACAAAGATTCTGAACATCTGGGAAGTGGAAGTTCCAGTGAACCCAACCAGAATGATCTTTGCACCAAAGTTAGGCATGAAGAATCACCATGCAGAAAGGGTAAGTCAGACATATTATGTGATCCCAATCCATCCACCAGCTCTGGGCAGAAGCCATTTTTTTTTTCCAGAAAATAAAATCTTAGTCAATCAAAGACATCTAATCAAATACTGGTAGCCAAATCAGGCTGATGCAGAAGTTTGGAGAGACCTAAACATAGGGTTGTTGTAGATGACAGAAAAAGTTTGATTTGATAAACTAGATAGCAAGCCAAAATATAAATTAATGCAATTGGAGGGTGATCTCTCAAATAATGGTGAAGATTTATTCACAGTGATACAAAGAGCTAAGATTTTTAATATCAATCTGAATTGAATTCAAAGACCAATATGAAGGCAAAGCTACAAATGAAATAGCCAAATCTTAATGAGCATGTATGTAAATAATGGGAGGCTCCAGCTTGTCAAAGCAAGAGACTATCAGGGAACACAGGATAAGACAAGGAAAAGAAGTATTTGTCATTTCTAAGCATGACATTACCTTTAGATCTTAAAAATAAAGATATTTGCATGTTATGCTCATGTTTCATTTTTTTCTCATGATTTCTTTCAAAAATCATTTATAGATTAGGGGCAGGTAGAAAATTGCCAACACACACACACACACACACACACACACACACGAACTACAACAAAGATTCAGTTCCATTAAAGTTATCCCAAGCTAAGTGATAAATATCAGTTGAATTATATCCATTTATGGGAGTGCTCTAAAAAGGACTTCTTGCAAAGCATTGTTTAGAAAGGGGTGCAGCTATTTACTTTCTTCACATATTCTGAACGCTCATACAACTGTGGAGAAGGAGAATATACCATCCCTAAGATCCTATGTGAATCTCTGCACAGGTCCTTTTCTCTGAGCAGAAAAGTATGAGCGGATGGAATGAGCAATGGATCAATGATCAGGACCTAGAAGATGGAGGTGGAAATATACGAACAGAATAACTTTGGACAAGTCATTCATTCAAAACCCAACTATTTTACTGTTTTATTGTTCTGAGCATAAACTGGTGGATGGAGTCCTGTATAAGTCACCTCAAAGACCTTGTAAAGTCCCTGTCGGAATCTGATTCGGAGGGAGAGTCTGAACAGCTGACAGGGAGTGGGAGTGTGGCTCCATTGGCTGTGGAAAAAACTGGGGAAAGGCAGAGTCCAGCTGGGCAGAGCAGGGGAGAGAGAGAGCAAGGGAGAGGGAATTCAGAGGAAGACCCAGGCCCACCCCCTCTTCATCCTAGGGCACGTAGGGAGGAATGGAAAAGGGAGCAATGTAAGTTGTGTGACTTACTGGGGAGGAAAGGGCCCTGATTCCCTTCATTAGCTGCAGCTGGGAACACAGTGTTTAAAAAGGGAAGCTGCGCTCAGCAAGCTGTTGGGAGCAAATCGTGAATTTATCTGGTCTTGTCGTGGCTTATCTGTGTTCCTGGAGTCTTCCCAACTGTGTGAGTTTTGCTGTGCTTTTAAGTCTGAAATTCCTTCTCTTGCCATGTTAAGTTAATTACTGCAGCTTGGTTTGTTTGGATTTTTAGTTACAGTTTTTATGTACCTTATTTTGGATTGAATTTTCTCCAGTTAAAGGCTGTTAAAGGCTGTTCCTGGGAAAGTTTTTCTCCAGCTGAAGGTAAAGTTGGGGGCAAAGTTGGAGATAATAAAGGGACTCTTCTTGCTTATTTGACTATGTTGCCTTTGTGCCACACCTTGGGTCATCACAGACTTGAAGAAAAAATGGGATAGAAATCTAAGAAAGAAATAAACATGTGGCTTCTGATTCGGGAGTTGAGTTTAGACATCACAGGATCACAGCTGGTGATCATATAGAACATAATTTTGATATAAACTTATAAAAATGTAGTAGCTTACCACATCAAAAGCCACCTGTATCATGTTAAGCTCCCTAGACAGGGAAAAAGTTTTTACATAATTCAGCATAATGAAATAGGGATATCCTATTTCTGAATTATGTAAAAGCTTTCTTTCTCTTTTTGTCCCCCATCTCTCTCTCACACACAGAGGGGCCAAATTAATAATTATACAGGTAGTCCTCAGTTAATGACCATAATCAGAACTGACAACTCTATTGCTAAGAGACACAATGGTGAAGCGAAAAAATATGACTGTGCTGAATTACAACAACAGTTCCTGTAGTTGTGGCTGTTAAATGAATTGTGCATGGTCATTAACTGTAACATCACATGGCTACATAATGGTATGTAAGAAAGACCTTGAGAAATGGGACAAAGAAAATGCTACTTAGGAAACGATCAGATAAGAGAGGGTACAGCCTGCAGCTGCAAAACAGCTGGAGAAAAAAGCTCAGAAGGGATCCTCCCTATCTTCTCAAGCTATGAAAGGTTAGGATTAGGGTTAGGGATTTCAAGTATACCAGACCAAAAACAACGGACCAGGTGAGCTATTTCTACTTTATTTTAAGGCTGCATTAACAGAATCTTGCAAGGGCCCAAATTGTGCTTGCAAATTGGCAGGCATCTAAATTGCAATCACATAAATGTAGGGAGGCTGCAACATCTGCAACTACAAGAACAGTCCTAAGTCTCCTCATTCAGCTACATCATAAGACTGAATGAGTGGTCACCGAATGAGGACTGGCTGTAAATTACAGCAAACTATCTGTTAAATAAGGTTTAGAAGGTTGCTTCTAGTAACTATTCAACTCAGACACAAATCACTCTAAGAAAAAAATGAGCAAACAAGCATATACACACAAATAAAAACTCCCTTTTTTACAATCATATAAATATAGCACCTATTTAGCTGCTAAGTAGGATTGAACTCTCAACTTTCTAAGTGGAAGGCAAACATCTTCACCATTAGGCCAACATGCCACTCAAGTATATATACACAAATAAAACAACAACAACCATACATTCCCCCCGAATGTTTTTTCCTGAGGAGGAGAAGAAGGTGAACCACCATCACTACTACCATCATCCCACTCCCCTTGTCTCCCCAGTATGAAAGTAAGAAGGGAGAAAGTGTAATATCAACTGAGAAGGGAAGGAAAGAGAAATATGTGGGACATAACTGGACCAAGATGATTAGAGTAAGAAGACAGGAAATGAAAAGAGAGAGGAAGAAATCCTATGTTAAATACTCCAGGTAAAGACCTCCTACCCTTGTAAAAAATAATGTTCATGTTTATGTATAGATCGGGTGCAGCCATTTTGTTAACTCCTTTGTCCTCAGCAAATTCTATTTATGCTGGTTATCAATAGCTTTCCCCATCTCTCAATTCGCCTGAGAGAGAAAACCTCATTTTTTTTTTGGCTGGGTGACTGCAATTCATCACATTTCATGGAGCCAAATGTTCAAATTTTATGAGGACTACAATGCTCAGAAAAGGAATAGTGAAATGTTACAGACCTTATACAGCTAGGCGTCACTTATGACCTGTTGCTTAGCAACTGTTTGATGTTATGATGGCTCTCCCCAGAGCTGCTTACAACCTGCTTTTACAGTTCTGATGGCCGCCCCTCCCCCCACAGTCATGCAATTGCATTTTGGGTATTGTTATATGACCAAGATTTATGACATTTTTGGCTGGAAACTAACATTTGTTTCTGTTTTCCAGCCAAAAAAATGCCCATTTAGTATAATGGTTTCATTTGATGACATGGCTGCTTCCAAAAAGGTCATAAAATCAGTCACAGTCATATGTTGACCCACTTAATGACCAACATAACTTACAATTGTAATTTTGAACTCAGTAATGGTTATAAGTCAAGGACTACCTATAAGTGATAGAAATATACCATATAATGGATTTTCCCTGGAGTGGGTGGATGGGAAGGTTTATTTCTGAAAAGTTTTTTTTCACAAGATCTACCATTAGCCTTGGTAGCCTTTTAAAAATTTCTTTAAAATTTCTGTTATTATTTTCCTATACTGTCCTAAATTTCCTGTTGTCGATGATAAAACAACCAATGCACTGATATTCTAGCCAACATTTTCCATCCTTCACAATTTCTACTTACTGGGGAAAATTCCTGCTTACTGAGAAAAATGTTTGTCAATAAAAAATACTAACGGAGAAAAAAATAATCTTTTTTTTTAGATTACCAAAAAGAAATATATTTTTCCTGAAATAAAATGTTGTATGAGACATTTCTAGTTATTTATTTTGAAATATCAGCTTTGCAAGGGATTTTAAACATCTATACAAAAATTCAGATGTTATGTCTTAACAACTGCATATTATATACCATATATACAGTATTTGTCCATGAAGCCATGGACAATTGTCAGATATATCGTTACTCATATAATGCTTTTTCTGGACAGTATTTATTTTAGATTCTAAATTCCATTCATCTAATATTCAGTAAAAAGGAGTAAAAAAACAGACCTAGGTGTCTATTGATAAGTAGTTCATATGGTGCATATAATGTACATTAGTGATTGGCTATTTATTTCAGAGCATTATCATCAAAGCAATCAATGTTTAATTACAGCACATTCAACTTTATTGCCTGTGTAATTCTGAGATAACAATAAGGAAATCAAATTAATTGCAGATCTTCTGCTGACTAAAATATTTTTTCATCAACTGTAATTAATTTAATAGCTACTATTCAATCTTAAAATTAAAAACTTATTTGTAGCACTCAATTTCACTTCTAAACAGTTTTAGCTTGAATGACCCAGGCTTTGACCCAGTTTTAGCTTGAATGACCCAAATTTGCTTTTTTTTTATGAATTATTCCAAATCTGGATTATAACTATCAAAAATTGTTCTCTTACTTGACATACACCCTCTCCAGCTAATCTGTGCCTTTCATCTGAGAATAAGTTTCTGGCATGAATGCCCACCAGTGCAAGTCTTATGGAAATACCTTCATATCTTCAGGACAATCCTTTAGAATCCAACATGGGGTATGCAGCGTTTCCTCATTCATTTTTTCCAGTTGTGGACAAGTCTGTGAGGTAGATTGGGCTGAACCAAAGTCACTGAGTATGATCACTAGTTGAGAATAGACTTGTGTAACTAAGATGGGAAAACACTAATGTCAAGAAACAACAAATAGTAGTTGGGGCCACTTTGCTGTAATAACATTAGGGAGGAAGGAGGAAACACTGTCAGAACATTGAAATGTCATGATACTTTGTCCTGCTTCAGGTTTCAACCACACAAACTCCAACATGGTTGCTATGGAGATTAGTAATTTTACTTCAAGGTTAAAGAGATAACAAAAGAATGCAAACCAGGACAAAGTCTCTGACGGGTGCTTGCTTAAATGATTTGCTGTTAACGGGACTGTATCTGAAGAATAGTTCAAATCCAATTTTGGGTTCCAAAAGCCACATCAGGGTTGTCAACCTGTGAAGAGGTTAGAGCAGGGGTGTCAAGCTTGCACCATCACAGCATCGTCACGTGACATATCACAACTTTTTTCTCCTTCACTAAACCAGGTGTGTGGCCAGCGCGTGACTTGTGGGCTGTGAGTTTGACAGCCCTGGGTTAAAGGTTCACAATTTTAAATACAATCAGGTTTTTCAAGAGTGTCACACAAGACAAGACATGTTGATCCAGCAAAGAGAAGATGGATCAGAGCTGCTTTTTAAAGTTGCAGCCAGTTGTCAGTAATGAAGAGATTTACTCCTTTGTTTAGAAAGAAGCCACATAGATCAATGTTGCTCTGCTCTTCAATCTACTTTCTGGGTGTGGAGGTTGGGACACCTGATGTCATCAACCATCATCTGACTATTCCAACTATTCAGGTGGTGCCCATGTTTGATCAGCTTCATGTAATTCTTGGCCTGGTTCCTCCTGAAGCTTACATTCCACAGGTTCCACTGGGCAGCTTCTTCTGAATCCAAATCTTGAGTCTTGTCCCTCATTACATACTCCTTTGCAAGAGATTTCAGAACTGAGTATTCAGTTGTTCCACAGGGTCCATTGTTGATTTTCATCACCAGCCAATGCCCTATGC